GCTGTTTCCGGTGCGGCAAGAAGGGCCACCAATTGGCCGACTGCACCGAGAGCAAGCCCGTGCGATGTGAAACATGCAAGAGCTACGGGCACGACAAGAGCAAGTGCCCGACCGAGGGGGTGGTGCTCGTGGTGGAAGTGCCGCCGGGGGGGGCATCTGCGAACGCCACAGCACTGGACGTGGCGGAACAGGCGCTGGTGGCCGGTGGCATCTCAGGCGAGTGTCACAAAGTCCTTGGTCGAGGGGGTGTAGAGCAGGCTAGGTGGGGTAGGTATGTTGCCGATACCGGCGCTACCACCCACATGTTCGCGAACTCAGATGGGTTCGTTCGTTACGAAGAGTGTGATCGACGTGTGCGCGTCGCCGCCGGAGAAACCTTTTTTCCCATCGTGGGGTACGGCGACGTGACGGTAACCCTTTGCTCGCGCGATGGGACAACCGACCTGTTGTTGAAACGGGTTGTACACGTTCCCCGACTGGATTACAACCTAGTATATCCCACTTCCCTCTTCGACGATGGGTTCGAAATTAAAACCCTCAATAAACACGAGTTGGAATTGGAGAGAGGGGGGGGAGTTGGTGTACCTCCCCCGATGCGGTAACCTGTACGTCCAAAACGGTTACCGCACACACACCGAACATGCCCATGCCGCAATTGCTCCTGGCATCGCGAAAGCGTCCAGCGCCCCCGTTGACATCAACGATTTCCACTGCGCGCACGGCCACTCGCACGAGGTGCTGTTGAGGACCACGGCGAAGCAGCAGGGGACGACGCTGGTGGGCGAGCTCCGGGAGTGCCTGGGGTGCTCGACGGCGAAGAGAATCGATCCCCAACAAGACGTCGACCCGAGCAGCTAAGAAACTGCAGCGAATTTTCGTGGATTTGAGTGGAAAAGCTAGGGTCCAGAGCTTGGGGGGGAAGCGGTACACTCATATCGTCAAGGATGATTACACAAGGTGGAACCGTGTCTTCTTCCTGAAGCACAAATCAGCCGCAGCTGAGGTATTCGAGAGGTACCTTACAGAAAACCGGGCAGACGGTGCCCCGTCCGATGTCATGATCGTGAGATCTGACAACGGAGGAGATTTTTTTGAGGGAGAGTTAGGCAAGGTGTGCCGGAAGTACTGCATCAAACAGGAGTTCACCCCCGCACACAGCCCAGAATACAACGGTGTAGCTGAGAGAGCACTGGGTCTGATCAAGGATGCAGCACTAGCCGCCCGTATCCAAGCGCCAACTCTTTACCCCGGAGCACCGAACTACCCATCCCTTTGGGCCGAGGCCATAGCTTGGTCATGCAACGCCCTGAACTGCACCTCCACCACATCCAACCCAGAGAAGAAGTCGCCGTACGAGATGTGGCACGGGCACCCTCCCCCGCCGGGGGCGACGTACCCGTTCCTCAAACCTGCCGTATACAAGGTCAAGCGCACACACAAGTCCGAGCCAAAAGCCCAAAAGTGTTTTTACCTCGGCCCGGGAATCAACACCAACCGTGATTGCGTGCGCATCCTCAACGAAAAACGCCGAGCGATCACAACTCGCAACTTCACCGGGAAATCCGTACCCGCCGCCCCCACCGCCTTGCCCCAGTCGCCGCCTCCCATCGCAGAGTAGGAAGAGCAATTCGCGACTGAGGAGGACGAGGTTGGGGAGGGCGCGTCGAGTCAAGATGGAGGGAGGGCGGAGGCAGAACCTGTGGATGGAGGACCAGGTTTCACCCTTAGCACGACGGCAGCCCCGGGGCCCGCGGGGCCGCCCGCGCGCGTAGCGCCGGC